CTTGCAGTGGGACTGCTCCCTGACTGCAATGGTTCAATTTTCATTTATGTCTAAGGGACCTTTGCAAAGGACTTTAAATGAACTAATTCACTTTCCCACAGGTTCCAAGCAGCCTCTTCCCTCCTACGCTCCCTCCAGTATTAGGCCCAGTGACATCATCACATACAATGCAGGGCCTATAGCCCTACATTATATGTGTTGAAGCTAAGGGAAAGTCCACACGATGGAGTGTATGAGGGATGAGGTAAACGCTGGCTGTTGGGGAGCGGAGATCAGGTAAGTATAATCCCTTAGACTTGACATAATTCTTTTCGGACTTGTATCCCTCTAGGAAACTATGTAGGTATATAGAGTATTATTAGATGCAGGGCCAGATTAAGAGCATCATGGGCCTGGTCCTGTTGGTTGGTTGGTTGGTTGGATGGATGGGAAGCAGCAGAGGCGGCTCTCTAATTAGGCAGCTGCTTTGTCCTCGCTGGAGTCCCGCGAGGCCCCAGCGAGCAGCTGCCTAATATGCCTGATTAGTCAGCCACCTGACTGTGTTCAGCCAGGCTGGCCCAGATTGCTATCAGGCATACTGAGGCGATCCGGGCTTGCTGGTCCTTTCAGTGGTGGGCCTAGAGCTGGCGCTCAAGTAGCCTTTATGTTAATTCAGCTCTGAGTAGATGAGAAAGTGAGGGACCTTATTTCCAGCCCTATCTTTAATTCTATACAAGGTTTGGTATCTAAGGTTTTTTTACTCACACAAATAAGGTAATTAGTTATCTGCATAATTTGTTAGAGAAGGTATTTGAAAAGGAAGATTGGGTAGATTCAAAAAAATCAAAAAAAGATGGGTAGATTCAAAAATATTTGCACCTCCCAATAAGTTATAAATGGGTAGATTAAACATAACCAATTTTGTATTTAAATATGCCATTGAATGGAATGTTTATCACATGTATAGACCATATTTTTAACCATAGAAACTTTTTTAAAATAAGAAATACAGGGGCCACCCATGACAATGGTGTCATACAGCATGATGGTTTAAAGAATGCCTCACCCTCTTATTGAATGTCTATAAAGAGCCATGTGGTAGAAAGGGGAGAAATGATAACTTACTCTTCTGAGTCATTCAGTTGCATGTGTAATTTGAGCCTGAGCTCCATTAACAACAGGATGTCTGTAGAAAAGCAGATAAGATTGGTCTGGTAAACATGTGAAAAGGAGCCTAGGGTTAAACCTGCTTGCTGAAAAAAATCTTCATATTCATTATCCCATATTTACCTAGCTAAGAATGAAAACATATTGTCGGAATTTGTATATTTTATTCCTTCCCACAATAATTAAAGAAAGAAAATATGAATGAAACACTATACAATCCCTTTAGAGCCAAGCCCCCCCC